TTTTTTTTTTTTCTTTTTTACCTCGAGAATCACCATGTTACAAATCGTGGATTCCATCGGGTTCTCTTCGGTGGCGATAAGAGGAACTTGAGACATATCTTCTATGGAGTTTCGAAGGATCGCGTGCTCTTTCGACGAGTTCTGCGCTATTACCGGCAGGATTATGGTCCTGGAGTAAATTCGATTCCGTACACCCTCGCGGGCCTTTTGTCGCGTCCTTTCAGGCTCGGTGCGAGCGCATCGTGAGCTGTCGCCTGTAACAAAACATACAAGAAACTCGATACTTGTAGGGGTCACGTTGCAAAACCTGAATTAAAATTTCTAATTTCCTTGTTTTGAAATATTTGAAAGTACGGCGGGCAATTACGTTGCAGAGAGATTATATCGGCAGTGAAGTACAATTGGCCTTTAGATGTTCTTTTAACACAAAGGAACTATGACTTCGTTATATATTTTTTTTTTTTTTTTTCAAGGAAAACTATAACGTTGCAACATCTTAAATAGCATTTAAATAGTGTTGTACGTACATTTATACTTATTCATAGGTGTTTTTTTTTTTTTTTTTGTATTTGTTACACATTTCAAAAGATGTATATTAGAAGAAAATTTGTGGTTCAAACATTTTCTGAAATTGCATCTTCATAGAGAAATATCGAGATATTAAACGTGTGACTTAAGATTTAAGTTTCTTTGAAACAAAGGAATTACGACATTGTTACATTACATCTGTTCTTTTGTTCTGTCTAAATTTATAAAAATTTAAAGTGTATGCGGGTGTATAATTATATATTATACTGGAATCGCAGATTAATAAATGCATTATTCCTCTGATCTTTTTCTTTCTTCAATTTTATACAACTCAGAATTGAAAAGTTAGCAAATTCACGATGTGGCGAAATACCGGAAACGGGTAATAACTGTATTTGTTCTTGCTGCATCTTCAATGAATCACTCGTACTTATGTGTACAGGTTTGGCGAATTAGAGCAGAGATCAATGAGTTTCGATTTTTACTTTTACGCGCGTTTATCGAGCTGATGGTTCTGCTGTGTAAACACTAAAAAACACAGTATCTAAACCATACAAAGGTTTGGCAGCGTTCACGGTAGATAGCACGGTTGACGTTTCATTCGCTGCTGATTTTTTTTTTTTTTTTTCTTATTAAAGCAAGAAGGAAGGAAATTAATCTGTGCAATTCACATAAAAGATGTCAGTTCTTAAAAAAAAGAAAAAAAAAAATTGGGTAAAATGTAAGGAAAAGAATATGTAAAATTTCGTACACTTTGTGTAAAAAAAGCGAAAATGTATCAAATTTAAAACTAGAATTTATTAACCTAGTCAGGTTATTGACGAAGGTCGAAACGTTTCTTTTATGAACATTACATTATTCTTGACAGATTGCACGCACGCAATTAATTTCTCAGTCGGAATACTTTGTTTTTAAGTAGAATTCGAAAAATACCTTGTTCTTTTATGGAAATATAAATATAAATATAAGTTTTTTTTATTACTAAAAGAATATTACAGTAATTAGCAACAACAGCGACAATACTCTTTTGACACTAATTTTTACAATAATATTATATAAGACTAACGTGGATATTGTTAACTAACTTTTATCTATGTAATAATATTGTAATAACTTTTATCTATTTATTAATTCTATACTATTACTATTATTTACTATTTATTAATATTAATAATATTATATAAGACTAACGTGGATACTGTTAACTAACTTTTATCTGTAATAATATTGTGGTAATTTTTTATCGTAATAAAGACACAACTTTATGCTATTAATTTTTTATCTGTGTATCGTAATTTTAATTCTTGACCCACGAAAGCGTTGCTTAGAGACAATCAATGATGCCCATTTATCGATGTAACAGGTATAACACCTGTAGAATCTTGATGAATGAATAATGAATGATGAATCTATATGATGTTTGTCTCAAAACTGTGCATCTTACCATTGATTGTCATGTTGACGATACACATCACAAAGTTGTCTTTTAGCAAGGTTTCACTTTCTAAGAATGCAAGGCTCAATTCTTAAAAAATTTTATTAATTCTGCTCGTTTTTGCTTCCCTGAATGTTAATTTTATATTGATAAAAATGGGTAAAAATTTGCCTGGGAAAATCGCATAGAAATAGCCTGCTTTCTATCCATTCTATTTTACATACTCCTCAAAAATGTTCACACTCTCACACTATTGCACTTTCTTTATTCTGTAATAAATCAATCACCTATTGTCACCAAATTATGCCGTTCAAATGAAAGAGAAACCCAATTAGAAATGCAACAAGCCTATGTTTCAATTAGAATTTATATTTTCACACTTGTTCGCCTGAAGATGGGCCGTCTATTAGACAAACGTTCTTCGAGAAAATTTCACCGTTTTGTATTTTGATCTTCGAATTTGAGACTGATCGACAGAATCGATTCGATTCGATCGAAACAGAGAGAGGAGACAGCAACCCTGTCAGAGCGAACAATCTCGCTCGACTGACAGATCGATTGGACTCGTGCGACTGTAATGAATGAGTCAGTCACTGGGGGGATTCGTTTTAATGCAAATGTATGCGGTTACGTTTTATCAACTGCGACGACAATTATTTATAAACAATGGGTAAAGGTCCTAGAAGCTATGGAATGTCTCGAGTTGAATACCTCGAATTTTTTGGAATAACAGGAAGGGCCAGAGGAAGTCGATTATCGAAGGAAACGTTAATACGAATAGTGATGATTAGGCTGCGGATTTTCATGTAGTTAAAGATTTCTGTAATAAGTAAGCTAAAATTTTAAAAAAAGCAATTTTTATAAAAGTAAATTAAAGCAGACTATATTTAAAGATTTCTATATATAACTAAAGTAAACTATATAAATATAAAAATAACTCATTTGTCTACATGTTGTAATAAATATTCTGCTTTGCGTATTTCTCTACGTACATTATATGCGTTAATTTTTGCACTTTAGTATCTCGCATGAAATCTATGAAAATTCGTAGTCTAGCAATAGTGTAAATAAATACAAATTTTTATCTCTTTCATTATGACTTCCCCTTGGTGCTTCAATTAACATTATTATATAGGAACTTCAATTAACATTATTATATTATATACATTCTATTACATCTTTACAGCAAATTTTTAGTCAATGCTCGAGCGTGTATAATTTGTAAAAGTGACTGTAGAATGGAAAATTTCGATTTTCTTAATTTTCCCTAATATCTTCAAAGGAAGATATTATAAAATAACGAAGTTATTTTCTGCACCCTGTACTCTGTTAATACATTGGCAACTGGTTTGAATATTTTAAATAAAAAATTAAATTATTTTCAGTGAACTGATAATTGCGATATAATTGCGAAGATGTTATCACCGATGGAAAATATCTTATGGGAAGAGAGCTGTGGAATGTTATGTGTATCATAAAGAGACTTTATCAATACTTCGAAGCATCGAAAACTGCTTTAGACAGCAATTTCACATACAAACACGTTGTGATAGCATGTTGAAGTTTACAAATTGTACTTAAAG